ACAACAAGTATAATAACATAACCAAACAAAGGGTCGGTCTTGGTGTCTTAGACCTATTAAATCAGTAAGGAAACTCACCTCGAATGCTAGATAATAGTTGAATAGATCCTGACTCCGATTATCAACTCTACCCAACCCTAAATGGACAATAATGAACATTCCTTGGCTACCACTCAGATCGCCTCAAGTACCCCTTTAGGTCATACTTTGTCAAAGATAAAAGTCAAAGGTCAAAAAGTGAAGGTCAACAGTCCTTGAAGGCTCAACATGCCGTGTTATCCTTCAACACCTTGTGTTTCTTTACCAACTTCGGATCGGTGAAAACCAAGACAACACACCGTGTTTGCCAAGAAACACGTTGTATTAGCTTAAAGTCTAACAGCTTAATGTATTAAGCTGTTTTCAACGAATCCAAGGGTTCCAAAACTCAGATCTCGACCAAAACGAAATCTAGAAGAGTAAAGTGTCTGACTTTACTCCTAGAGACCACCGAAATGGATCCAAAACCCAAACCTTAGGCTTAAAAGAGCGAGGTCTTAATCATTAAGCACTTAATTATCAAAGACATAGCCTGAAAATGCATATATGATCCCTTAAAGCTGAAAGGCCACAAAAAGTTTCCAATTTTACGCTCATACATGGCTTGGAGAAGCTCAAATGCTTAAAAGGGACTAAATGAAGGACTTGATGAATACATGAAGCCCTTAAGTCCATAAAGTTATCACCTTTATGCCAAAAGAGTTAATGTAGACCTTAGATCTGAAAAAATAAGAATTTGGGAAGTCCTAAACCCCAACATCCACCCAACCATGGCTAAAAGCATACAATCTAACCCAGTAAGAGATATAAGCAACTATCAAGCAAGGTGAGAACTTGATACCTCAAAAACTTGGCAAATAAGATGATGGTTCTGGATCCAAGTCCTCTTCTTCAAGCCAAGCAACTCCTAGCTTATTTAGCTCCTTCAAAAAGCACCAAAAATGAACACCCAATGTTCTCTACAAACTCACACACTCAACAAAGGAAGAAGAAACTCAATTTTAGGGTTTCTGGACATAGGAGGCTAGTAATGAGGCCAACCAAGGGACTTAAGGCCTTTAAATAGGGTGCAACACCCTAAAAAGTAGGGTTTCCTTCCCAGCTTCCAACACGCCGAGTTGAGGCATCTTGACACACTGTGTTGGTTCATTAATTTCTGCGCCCAAGGTCATCTCAACACACAGTGTTGAGGCTTCCAGCACGCCATGTCCCAAAGAAAATATAAACAATAGGAAAAATAAGTTCATATGGGAAACCAAATGTTACATTCTGATTCTTCACAGGTTTGTAGGAAAAAAAGAAGAAGACTTCTTGTATCCTTCGTGAATCCAATCAACTATATCCTTTTTGTTTAATGGAATGATCTTTATTAAGACAAACCTTGTTAGAAAGGTGAGTATGGAGCGGGAAAGGGAACTGCACCCCAGAACACCATACCCGGGTTGCAGGAAATGCAGTGTAGGGAAAGGATGAGGGATAATCCTTCATTCTCTCTCCTTGTGTGATTGGTCAAGATCTCCTTGTGTGATTGGTCAAGAATCCAAGGATGAGGGATTCTTCTTCCGTTGTTGAGTGTGTGAGTTTGTGGAGCTTGGGTGTTCATTTTTGGTGCTTTTTGAAGGAGCTAAAGAAGCTAGGAGTTGCTTGGCTTGAAGAAGAGGACTTGGATCCAGAACCATCATCTTATTTGCCAAGTTTTTGAGGTATCAAATTCTCACCTTGCTTGTTAGTTGCTTATTCTTTCTCATCATTTTCTGGTAAGCAAGTCTCAAACTTGCCTAGTAGCATCTTAGATATCTTTATCATCATTTTATGGGGTTTTTGGTCCAAGAATCTTGATCTTGGGATATGGATGCCCCAAGTGAGTATACTTTTAGATTTGGAATCATGGAGGGTTTTCATGGCATAAATGTGCAAATTTTATGACCATTAAAGCCCCATGCAAGCCATAGGGTGTCATTTTGGCCTTTTAAGCTCCAAAAGTCCATGCATGGAGTGAAAGGTCAAAGGTGGAAGATTTACGTGTTCATGTGGTATTTACGGTCTAGATCTTTGTTTGTATGCGTTAGTTGGGTGTATGGATGGCTTGTGGACCAAGATCTAGGTCCGAAAGGGTTAGGATTTGAGCTAAACCCATGAAGTAAAGGTATTAATGGGTAAAGTTGGAAACTTTACCCTTAAAATGATGTTTTCAGTGTGCATGAGAAATAAGCAACTTAGATCTGAAGAGTAGTGGCTTAATCCATTAAGAAGACCCAAACAGACTCAGGAACTCATCGAGTCCATAGAGGAACTCGACGAGTTGAGTTGATTTGTCCCGATTCGGTACCAGGTGGAACTCGATGAGTTGACTCGCTTTATCACATCTACAAGTAGCAAGGGAACTCGGTGAGCCAGGGGGACGACTCGACGAGTTGGATCGCGATCTCAGGGTTCCTGATTCACAGAACTCGGCAAGTGATGGGTCAACTCAGCGAATTGAGTCAAACCAGAATGTTGACTTTTACTAGGGGTAAAGTGATCATTTTACCCTAAGAAGGATTATTGGATTTTGACTGAATGATTTTGTGACAATGATAGTCGGAGAGACGTTGGAGCAGCCATTAGATATTCCTCACGCGAGATTTCATAGTTAGCTTGGCGAGGTGAGTTTTTCTTCTAGCTTGAATAGGTCGAAGGCACCAAGGTCGGCCCGTATATGTTACATGTATAGATTAGTAGTTGAGTGTGGGCGTGGCCCGTATCTCATTATTAGCCGAGTGTGGGTGGGGCCTGTATCTCATAGTGTTATTTAATTATGTATATAGGACCGATTGATAGACTTGATTATACTTGTTGTCTATGTGATACTTATATATATGCTTAGTAGCTGAGTGTGGGCGGGGCCCGTATATCCTAGCCAGCAGAGTGTGGGCATGGACTGCATCTCCTAGTTAACAGAGAGTGGGCAGGGCCCGTATCTCCTAGTTAGCGGAGTGTGGGCGGGGCCTGTATCCCATGGAGTGTGATGGGGCCCGTATCTCTAAGCAACATGATTATGTGATGATATGTGGTAGTTTGGGGAGACTCACTAAACTTCGTGCTTACAGTTTTCAGTTTTGGTTTCAGGTAATTTTGGTAGCAAAGGGAAGAGCTTGGAATGATTGCAGTGCACACACCATTTGTTCAGCCTGGGATATTTATACTCTGATGATTGAACATGTGATTTTGATACAATGTTTTGATATAATGTTTGAGATACTATTACTCATGTTTTTATGAGATGATTTAGTTTACTATGGTTTGTTTATAAATAAAAAATGAAAATTTTAGACCGTATTTTTGGGATGTTTCATTCATTGTGAAGGATGAGGACTTTGATAAAAAGATTACTCTGACTTTTTAAGTGATTACGAATAAGCCTTTGACTTATAAACCCTGCATATTTGATTACTCCAACTTTTTAAATGATTACGAATAAGCCTTTGACTGAGAAACCTTACATATTTGATTACTCTGACTTTTTAAGTGATTACGAATAGATCTTTCACTTGGAAACCTTACCTATTTGATGCTCATGTATTAGGGTCCCAACTACAAACAACAAAATGGGTTGAAATCTTTTTTATTGTAAGAGAATTAGGAAATTTAAAAGGGAAAATACCAACAATAGTAAAAAAAATAGGGGGTATTTTCAAATTTTAGACATGAAAATAAACATTTTCGGATATAGACATACATTCCGTGGAGGTAGCTCCGTGGAATCTACTGTAGCTCCACGGAATGACAAAACCGTAAATAAATTAGTGTCTTAAAAAAAACCCAAGATTCATTACAAGGAGCTACAGTGGATTTCGCGGAGCTACGCGGAGGTAGCTCCGATGAATGGATCTTCAGATTTTTTTTTTTTTTTTTTTCAAATCGATTCTTCGGGGTTTAGATTCATTCACTAATTATTTTCAAGAAAAGATTATGATAGTATGAATTTTTCTTGACAGTGTTTCGAATGAATGTGAGATGGAAAAAAACTGGTTTTTAATTAGAGATCATTACATAAAAGAATTATTGGAGGAGTTTTTTTTTTTTTTTTTTTTTTTTTTTTTTTTTTTTTTTTTTTAAGTGAGGATCCATTTCTTGGAGCTACTTCCGCGGAATCCACTATAGCTCCGCAGAATGATCTTGAGTTTTATTTATTTATTTATTTTTATAAATACACTAATTTATTTACGATTTTACCATTCCGCGGAGCTACAGTAGATTCCACGGAGCTATCTCCGTGGAATGCATGTCTATATCCGAAAATATCCATTTTTATGTCTAATATTCCAAAACATCCCTCATTTTTTTTTGACTGTTAATGGTATTTCCCCAATTTAAAAGGCTTAAGTTGAGACACAAAAGAGAAGGTAATAATTACAACATTATGATTAGATATACAATAATAAAGGAAAACGACATATGCAAAATGGTAAGAATTGTAATATTATTGTTTTCTCACGAAACAAAACAACCTAAATCTTGATTAAAAAAAGAACATAATTTCGAAATTAAAAAAACAAATACTCAATTCAACCAAATCCAAGATTGGTCTGTGGTTGTTTTATTTTATCTATCAAATTATAAATATATTAGGTTATAACATGTGGAAACCATAGATACAAAATTAATTAAATTTTTATAGTAAAAATTCAAAATTATTAATTAAAAAAATATTTTTTAGCTATATAAATTTATAACCATTGATTTAAATAAATGAGTAAAATTATATCACCTTATAAGGTCTTCTGGTATACCAACGACAAAGAGGCTCGTGGTCTACGTGGCCACGAGCGTTATTCGTGCACACCACCCCGGCCTACCGTGGTCGGGCGTTTTCGTGGTGGGAAAGGCGAATCAACGCCCAATCAGAACTTCTTCTTCTCTCGGTTCTTCTCTCTCTCTCTCTCTCTCTCTCTTATGTTCGTGGTCATGGAGGGTACTCAATGGCTTTGTGGTTGGTGGTGGTGATCGACCTGAAAGCTCTCCACAACCGTTGTCGTGGAGAGTACAGCAGATGGCCTAATCTTTTAGAGTCACTAATTCCCCTCATTACTTGTAAGTTGTATCAATGTCAATAAAATTATTATAGACCAATTTAATATCATCTTTATTTTCTGATTAATGCGACCGTTTAATCACATACATTGTTACTTGTCCAAGAGCTTATGCATGACTATCATAGACTCATGGGCCTCGCTAGATATGCCTTCAAAGTTGACACCCATAAAACTTATGATGTGAGTTTTTTTCGTTTTTTGTTACTTGGGTTTGACTTTTTCTTTGAAGCCTAATGGATCTCTATCAGGTGGCTCCTCTTTTTTCATATCCAAAACCTTGGGTATAGAAATCATAACATCTTGATCAATATTTAATTAACCTTACAAATTTTGCAAGAAAAACCATCAAACTTTTCATATTATATGATAAAGATTGTATTAAAAATACAATAGTAATTTTTAACTTTTAGCCCGAATGTAGTCGGATTGTTTTGCATAACATCAAATGATTACTTCGGTTGTCTCATCTAGTTGAGTAACATTTTGATATTTTTATGTCAAAACTCTTTTATGCACATTCCAAATAATACAATTGCAAATACAAAAGTCAAATATTGATCCGGTCCAACCCGACCCGAACAGTATATTTTTCCCAATATTGTGCCCTTCCTGGCTGCTTTGCTTATTCCCTCATATCATTGTCGTCTCTCTCCGTAAGGTCTTTGCAGACGAGAGATTTGGAACTGCAGCCAATATGTCTCGACAAGCCACTAGATTCATCGCTAATCTCTCCTCAAAACTCACCTCTCGTACATCTCCTTCATCATCATCGAACTCGATCTCTCAAGCGCGTTCATTCGCGACAGCTCCTCCACCTCCGGCCGTTTTCGTCGACAAGAACACCCGCGTCATCTGTCAAGGAATTACAGGCAAAAATGGCACCTTCCACACCGAGCAAGCCATCGAATACGGCACTAAGATGGTAAAATTATACGTTTCTACCGCTGACTGTATATACGTGATCTGATTTACCCTACGTTAACGTTTTTGATCGCGACATGATTTCGTTAGGTGTTTGTAGGCGGATCTAGGGTTTTATTTGTGTGGTGATCTGTAAAATGATTGTTTGATTTTGTACTGTTAATTACGAAAATGACATTCTGTAGTCTGGACACAATTTAATAAGAATATTTGACTGACAAGTAATATGCCAAATTAGAGAAAACGTTTAGAACGATAAGCCTACCGATACTTTGTAACGCTTAGCAATGACATCGAGATAAATTTTGTATTAGAAATGAAAATGTGAACATAATGATCTAACAAATGTATATAAATAATTTCAACATGTAGCTCTGAAATTCCTTTTCGTTTATTTTGAACCCTGTTCTTGACTTGTGCAGGTTGGTGGAGTTACCCCAAAGAAGGGTGGAACAGAGCATTTAGGGCTCCCTGTTTTCAACTCAGTTGCAGATGCAAAAGCTGAAACCAAAGCTAATGCATCTGTAATTTATGTGCCTCCACCATTTGCTGCAGCAGCAATCATGGAGGCATTAGAGGCTGAACTGGATTTGATTGTTTGCATTACAGAAGGAATTCCACAACATGACATGGTAACCTGCATTTCTCATCAACATGTTGGCTACTTGTGCTTTCAATGTAAGAGAATGTTATTGACTATCTGTCTCTTGTAATCAATCATATGCGTACAGGTTCGTGTAAAGGCTGCTCTTCTTAAGCAGTCAAAAACTCGGCTGATTGGACCAAATTGCCCTGGTATCATTAAGCCTGGAGAATGCAAGATTGGGATCATGCCTGGTTACATTCATAAACCAGGGCGTATTGGTATTGTATCTCGATCTGGCACACTAACTTATGAAGCGGTGAGATATTCTTGATTTCTTCTTAACTTATTTTTATGATTGGTTTAAGATTAATTGCTTATTTTGAATTTGGAAAAATTATGATTCTATGCAAACTTTTTGAATGATTTGTTTTTTCATTTTGTTACAGGTATACCAAACTACTGCTGTAGGGCTAGGTCAGTCCACATGTGTAGGTATTGGTGGGGATCCTTTTAATGGGACCAACTTTGTTGACTGCATGAGAAAATTCATTGCTGATCCTCAGACAGAAGGTAACTCAAGTTTTCAAATGAATTTGATATTTGGTTAGGTTTTTTAAATTTGGGTAATTGCATCTCATTTTGATGTGTGGATAATTATTGTGTTTCCAACATGAATATCATAAAAAAATTGTTACTTAGTTTTTTGGTAACTTTTAATGATTATTGTGTTCGGCTTGAATTTCTATCAATTATATGTTTCGGGACTGGTCCTTTTGACCTCAAAATATATTTATGGATGACTGGAGGGTTATAATTTTCTTGTATTTCCATAAATAAGATGTCTGATTAACTTTTATTGACTTTTGAAGTGTCTCAATAATATGGAGAAGCATATTGGTGAAGAAAGAATGTAGCATGGTTAATAAACATATATTTAGATGCCTCATTTTAGTTTTATGTCAAACAGAGTTAACATCAATTATTGTTTTCTAATGATGCTTAATCGTTAAGAGTTGCACTGAGGAAAATACTTTAAAAAAAAAGGGCTAAATTTGAAATACTTGGAAGAATGATTTACATGGTATAGTTATAGTACTTGTTTGGTCAAAAGGAGTCTCCCTTTTAAGTAACTTGTATAATTATTGAATTCATTTGGTCATACAATTCTAATTTATTTTGTTACAAAATTTTAAAACTTCATTTGGTTGGTTGGCAATTCAGGTATCATTCTGATTGGTGAGATAGGTGGTACTGCAGAAGAAGATGCTGCTGCCCTCATAAAGGTTAGATATTTACTTTAATATCGGACCAAATATATATTTCTATTAAATAATATAAGTTTCTCATAATTACATTTTTTTTTAAAAATTTGTAAACAGGAAAGCGGGACTGACAAGCCTATTGTTGGGTTTATTGCTGGACTTACTGCTCCACCTGGGCGACGCATGGGCCATGCTGGAGGTATTCTTTTGCCAGCTGTCACGTCAGTCTAGTTTTTACTGACATGACAGAACAAGTTGTACTGTGTTTGGTCATGAGAACCGGACAAGGACTAAGACCGATATCAATGGGACAAAAGTTGTAGTTGTTAGTCCCACCTAATAAAAATGGGACATGGACATCTCTCATCTGTGTAAAAGACGAGAATGCCCTTGCAACAACGATAAATAAAGTTATTATTATTTTTTTTTTTTGGGGGGGGGGGGGGTGTGGGATGAATTTATTGATTAACTTAATAATTAATTTTGGTTTGAATTGGCAGCCATAGTATCAGGTGGAAAGGGTACAGCGCAAGACAAAATCAGGACCCTGAGGGAAGCGGGTGTGACAGTGGTGGAATCACCAGCAAAGATTGGAGCTGCTATGCTTGAGGTTTTTAAACAGAGGGGTCTTGTTTGAGTGGAGACCATGTATTAAGAAGAAAAAGAAGAAAAACCATTTTCAGTTCAAAATAACGAAAGATAAAAACACCCGGGCGAGTTTATATGGTTGGATTTTAACCTTGTTGAGTATTTTTAGCAATCCTTTTCTTTTTCTTTTTCTTTTTCTTTATGAATCCAAAGCCAAAGCCAAGTGCCACGGCATATTTTCTTAGTTTTGCAAATTTGGAAAAACGTACAGGGATTTGGAATTGAGATAACTCAATTGTGGTTGATTGAGTTGAATGGAACCTTTTTGTGCCTACTCATGCGTGTTTTTACATTTTACCTATGTTTCAAAAAATTCCAAAAACTTGACAAAGAAATGCCATCAAGTATGACCAGCTATTCTTAAAAAGCTCGACTTGAGATTGATTTTAAATAAGCTCCAGATTAATATAGGCTTTTTTATTAAACGAGCTTAAGCTTGTGTTACTAAGCTATTAGGCTTGTGATTCTAAACGAGCCTATATATATATATATATATATATATATATATATATATATATATATATATATATATATATATATATATATACACTAGCCGTTTGCTCACGCAAAGCGGCGGCGACAAATAGTTTCTTTCAAGCAATTAGTTCCATTCGGAGACATATTATATTTCTAAGAACACTTGTACCATTATCGATCGGTTTTACAAAAATAAAAAGTGCAACGTCAAAACCAAAAAATATTGTGGTGGTGGATTCCATGAAGGAAAAGGAGATGAAGATTTGAATTAATCTCCAGTCAACTATATTTTATGCAAAAAATTAGGGAACTCTAATTTGAATGAGCTTTTAAATTTCAAACGATTTGTCGATAAGAAGTGTTTCAGATTTCGAATGCACCAGATACCAAGGAAGAGATATTTTAGGAGTACAAGTTGGTTTAAAATTGATGAAAATACTAATTCAATCCCTAAAAATAAGGAAATACTAATTTAAATGTGTTTTTAATACTTGTATTTCTAGTATTATCATTTGTAAGATATATATTATAATATTATTATATTAATACTTGGTTGTACTTTAAGCTTAAAGATTTGAACGTCTTAAAAAAATATTATTATTATATTGATTCTATTTATAGAAATAGTAAGATTTCTTTTATAAAGTAGTATATATATATATATATATCGCTATTCTAATAAATAAATAGGTTTATTCTCCTATTGATAAGTGTCATAATATTAGAATTCATCATTAGTATTATATGTTTTTTATCATGCTACTTGTCAACCCATTAATTATTCATTTTAAATTTTAAATTTCCCACTTTAATTACATTAAATTAATAATTGATTCTCCATTTTAAATTTTAAATTTTAAATATTTTTCAATTTATTTATATTAAATTAATAACATTAGATTAAAAAAGAAAATAAATTCAATACAAATTATAAGACGATATAACTTCAAGTATTTATTTAAATCAACGATTATAATTTTATATAACTAAAAAATATCTCTTAAGTAATAATTTATTTAAAATAATTTATTAATAATTTTAATTTTTTATTATGAAAATTTAATTAATTTTATAACTGTGGTTCTCACTGGTTATAAACTAGTATATATATATATATATATATATATATATATATATATATATATATATATATATATATAAAGCTCGGGCTTAGTTTGGCTCTTTTGCACCTTTAACCTGAGAATTAGTAGTCTTAACAATTAGATATAAATGTAACCGTGTTTAATCTATTTTGGAAATTTTGTAAAATCATAACCTGAATACATATATGATATCCAGAAGCTGTGAATAATTTTGTATCTCGGATTTAAATATTTTTTAGTACACCTAGTTATTAGTGTACCTATAACTTTGAAGTCATTTTGTACTTTTAAGGTAAAGAGGTAAAAGAAACAGAATTTTACAGCGGTCATGTTCTAGAAAATATAATTAAAGAAAAAAGTAAATTACTGAAATTATCCTTATGGTTTGGTTAAAATTACACGTTTGATCCTTAACTTTTTTTTGCACTCGGATCGTCCCTATGGTTTGATTTTGTTGCGTTTTTCGTCCCTATGGTTTGGTCAAAATTGCACGTTTGGTTCCTAACTTTATGTATGCAAGGGACGAAAAAAGCAATAAAATCAAACCATAGGAACGATCCGAGTGTAAAAGAAAAGTTAGAGACCAAACGTGCAATTTTGACCAAACCATAGAGACGATTTCAGTAATTTACTCTAAAGAAAAAGATTCAAGATCACAATTACGGCAAGTTAATTAAAGTTTGTTTTTTTTTTTAAGTAACTATATTAGATATATCCTCAAATAATAGGTGTTTTCTGGGCGTTTCTGCTAAAGTCAATACTGGAGGTTTGTGGCATTTGCGTTCAAACCGGCAAATATAGTCTTACAAGTTACAAACATTCAGCATACGTGGTCAACTTTTGTACTAATAACCAGTCACATTAGAAAGCTACGGCTACCCATTAGGTTACGGCCTTAAGGGTTGGATTTTTATTGAACTATTTGGATACAAAAATAAACACGAAACATATAATAAGTTGAACTTTAGCTTATAATTATTTGACCTAAAATCTTATCAAGCTTTCCAATATGATGTATGTTTTAATTTTTTTGTGCAGAACTTGAATCAAACTTGCTTTATCGAACATATCCCTTTAATATTTTTGAGCTACTTCAGCCAAGCTTGATCTATGATTTATCGAATACATTTGATAAATATTTTTAAGTAATTTAAAAGCTTTTGAATCGAGCTTATATCTTTCTTGAATAGCGTTCAAGCCGTTTGTTGAGTACTTGAAACGAGTTTGAACTTAGCCTAATATTGTTAAGCCGTGCTTGAGCTTCATTGCAGGTCTAATTGTAGGTTTACACTTTACATACATTATATATGTATTTCATATACGTATTTTAGATATGTAAGGATGATTTATATATTTAATATTTGTGTTCAGTAATTTAAATAAGGTTCAGTGGTGGGGTTTATTTAGTTAAATTTTAAGAAAAGGCCTTGGTAGTCATTTTTGTAAGTCGAGGGGTTGATTTGTGATGGGAATACAACTTATACAAGGAAGGGAAATGTTGAAAATGATGTAAAAGATGTTTTATTTTATTTATTTATTTTTTTGAAATCACTGAAATCTGATATTGTGCAACACCCATCAACTCAAGTAAGTACATTATTTATTTGAGTATTAACTTCTCAAATATTATGCATGTTGACTTTAAAATAGGCTGTATGTATGGCTGTGGATAATAAAGAATGCAATGACAATAACATGAAGTTGTAAATAATACGATATGGTGTACAACTTAAACTTTACTGTTCTTTAATTATTGGATTGGACCAATATTGTTAGAAGTGAGTCTAATTGGAATTTTCAAGGCATTATTGGTCTTTCAAAGGTCGAAGTGCAATTGTGGGTTATTAGTATTATGAGTTAATGATTACTAAAATTGGGAAATTAAATATGTATGCAAATGTAAGGAATAAACAAGAAAAAGTCACACATACATACACAACGCTTAACGTGTTTCTTTAATATGACATACATCACATGACATTAGAGAATATTCATATTCATGAGCTTGAAAACAATAGTATCAATTGAAACCTTATCTATCAGTCATATATAGGCAAGATACAAAACGTACCCTTAACTAGAAGACTAAGACTTGAGCTGACTTTAGGAAACGGGTCTAAGATCAGAACAACAATAACATCTGATTCACAATACAAACAACTATCTTAATAGGATGTTGCAACAAATTTTCCTTTCATGGATTGCTTGGATGAACTCATGTTTATAGGAATGTAAATGAATTACTTTAACTCTGGTATGGATAAAAAAATGTCAGGGTTAACATGTTTATATATTATTTAAATAAAGTAGTAAATGGAAAATAAATGTTGTTCAGTGAATTTATTCTACTGAAATATAGAGAGTTAGAGTTAAAATTTTCAACCCACCAACATTTGAGCACTTAAATTGTACCATTATTTGTGGTTTCACATTTTTTCAAACTTGAACAATTGTAGAAATTTGTAATTTTTCTAAATTTTAATTGAATAGTTATTGTGTGTTTAACATATTTAATTAAAATAAAAAGAAGTTTTTTTTTTTCTTTTGTAAATTTAATTAAATTACCGTATTGAACCCATATATTATACGTATTGGATTAGGGAGAAAGTTAATTAATAAATCAAAAAACCATTTATTCAAAACATGCTAAATAAATCAAGTGAATTATACATATTGGATTTGGGAGAAAGTGAACTAATAAATCAAAAAACCATTTATTCAAAACATGTTAAAAAAATCAACTCAAAAACCCATTATAAAACATATGATTATTCATATGAAAAAATAGAATTAATAATTATTTTGATAAAACCCATCCCCTGTTTTAGCATTTTTGTGAATTTCTAAAATTGGTTTGATCAGGATAAATGGGTTAGTGGCAGGGGAAAAAAAGAGAAAACAAAAAAGGAAAAAGGAATAAAATATCTGTCTACTCTCTCACGGCTCAACTACAAAATTTCTTTCATCTCTGCGTCTCCTCCTGCCCCCACCTCCACTCCCATCCGATCGGAGCTCACCATGCATTCCATGATCTTTTCACCGTACACACTAACGCCATCAAGTTCATCGATCATACCACTAACATCTGTCAAATCCAAATCATCCATCACCGCATCTCCAAATTTTTGGAGAAAGTCTCGCTCTGATTCTGCTTCGGTGATATGTAATGTTTCAGGAACTTCATCTTCTTCTATCACTGATTTCGATCTGTATGATCTGCTCGGTGTCGATAGTTCCTCCGACCATTTGGCGATAAAACAGGCGTACAGGTCACTGCAAAAGAAATGTCATCCGGATATAGCCGGAGCGGCGGGACACGACATGGCAATCATTCTCAATGAAGCCTATGCTGTTCTATCTGATCCTCTTTCACGTTTCTCTTATGACAAGGTTTGTTTCAATTGCTATCTCTTCGCTCAATTTTGATTATGGAAGTTTAACTTATTTACTTTTCGAATTCAAGTTGATGTTCATACCGTTTGTTCTGAAATCGATCGTTTATATGCGGATTCATAAATTAATGCTTAGATCGTTAAGTACTGAAGTTGAATTATTGCTCCAGAAAACATTAGATGCTTAATTAATTACAACATATTCAAGATTAATTGCAATGTTTCAAACATTTAAAGTTGAAATTGACTTGCCATTTTAATCAGATCAATGATAATATTGATTTTGTTCGAAGGTTTACTTTGGGTTTGAAAGTTGGAACCTACAAGCTATTTCAAATCATTTTCCCTCCAAGTTTCCTATGATTAAAATATAATATAAAGCTTCAAATAATAATCAAAGATTTCATATGCATAATTGAGGTTTCTCATACAGGAGCAAGCTAAGGTTGCAGATTTCAAAGGTTATACAGGAAAACCAATATACTCAGTATGGTATGGATCCGAGAGTGAGCAGAGAGCTATCTTTGTTGATGAAGTCAAATGCATTGGCTGCTTAAAATGCGCCTTATTTGCCGAAAACACATTTGCAATTGAATCTGTTTATGGTAGAGCTCGAGTCATTGCTCAATGGGCTGACTCAGAAAACAAAATTCAAGAAGCCATTGACGCATGCCCTGTTGATTGCATCTCGTAAGCTTATGAATTTTGACAAACACCTACAAATGTTATACATAAAAATCAAATATTATGTTCTGATTTTTTAAAAACTTTTCTAGAATGGTGGAGAGGTCGAAACTTGCAGCATTAGAGTTCCTGATGTCAAAGCAGCCACGTGGCAATGTTAGAATTGGTGCAGGAAATACCGTGGGCACTCGTGTATCAAATATCTTCGTTGAGGTTGATAAATTCCAAGATCAATTTCATGCAGTCATGGAGAAACAATCTTCAAAGCATTCCAAGGTTCGTAAGTCTTGAAATAATATGATTCTAAAATCAAATTCAGGATATGTTTTTGCTTCATGTTTACCAAATTCCGTATATATATATCAGGAACAAGACCTACATTGGGAAGCACGGATGTCTGCAATTCAAGTCATCAGATCATTCACAAACTGGTTATACTGGAAACCACCCATTCCAGGAATGCCTGCATCTCAAACAAGTAGAAAATTATTACAAATTCCAGAAAACTGCACACAATCAAACTCACCAGACATCAACAAGCTAAAAGAAGCTGTTGCTGCTCGAAAACAATCACAAACAGCTACAAAATCAAAACCAAACGATTCACCAGAATACTGGACTCCATCGGCATTCATCCTCCCGGAATCAACAAAGAACAATTCCGACCCTACAGCTTCACCTAATATGACAGCTAGTAAGAAACCTAAGGGGGAATCATACAGTGAAAAGTTTGTGGGTTCAAAGATTCGAAGGAGGAGTAATGGTTATGAAATTGGTGTTCCTGTTGGGATGGCTGTTGTTGCAGCAGTTGTAGTTAGGGTAAAACTTGGAGATGCTTCTGGTGGTGGAATTGAAACGCATGTTGGTGGTTCGTTGTTACTGGATGTGGTTAATAGTTCATGGCTGCAAGTCATTCTGGCTGGTGTTACGTGGTATCTTGTTGGTATGGCTGCGGTTGAACTTTTAGCGGTCTTTAGGATAAAATCGGATGACACTGTAGAATGAATAAAACAATAAAATAATATATGTATATATATGTTATAGGTTAAATTGTGTTAGTCTTAGGTTATGAATACATGCCCCATGAATTTACTGAAATGGAACCTAGTGCTAGTGCTTATCACTTGAGATTTAAACACTAATAAATATTAAATAATAGACTAAATAGAGTGAGTCTATGATCAAGCTTCAATTTAAAGATGGTCTGCCATTCAAAAGAACCGGTGTAAGATAGTAGTCATCATGATCTTCATACTTTACAAATTTTTCTAATTATATTAAAGGGTTAGTGTCACTCTTACGCTGTGAACTTTAGGTTTTCGATGTCTTTTGTTAACTATTCCTTTTTAGTATTCTAACCGATTATTTTGAAGATAAAGAGGTCATCCGGTTGCAAAGCTTACATGGTATGCCACATGGCATGACATTTTGGTAAGCAAAGATTACACATGTGGCGCCGATACACAGACGGTTTTTTTCTTTTATATATATATATATATATATATATATATATATATATATATATATATATATATATATATATATATATATATATATATATATATATATATATATAGTCAAGATCAAATAAGAAGAAATTTTTGGTAGGAAGGTAAGAAGTTTTTTTTTTTCTACATATTTTTTTCGCGAACGAACAAAATGAATCATTAGATAATTCATTTGTAAGATGATTCACAATAAAAAATTCTCAAAAAAACATCTCGATGATTTATTTATACAATGATTTTGTTGTTATTCACTAAAATTGTCATAAAAATGAATTTTTTCTTAATTTACTTAAAAATGAATCATAAAGATGTTTTTTTTGGAATTTTTTCTTGTGAATCATCTTACAAATGAATCATCTAGTGATTCATTTATTTTGTTCGTCAAAAAAATATGTAGAAAAAAAACTTCTTACCTTCCTACAAAAAAAAAAAAAATTCTACCTGATCTATCTATATATATTATATATATATATATATATATATATATAATATATATATATATATATATATTAAAGTTATGAAAGTTAGAAATACTAACTTCCTAAGTGTTTGGCAAGATTGGTCCCTAAGGTTATGTATGTTTGCTCTTTTTTTTTTTGTCAATTTTTTTTGTTACTTTTGCTCCTCAACTTGAGCCTCTCATATAGGCTCTAAGACTAGGGTAATCACCGTCATCCTTAGGTACAAATCCTTGATGAGGGCAGCAACTGCCTTGCGGCTAAGAATATTTGCCACCACATTGGCCTTCCTGCAGACCGATGCTGGATCGACCAGTGATTGTGTTCATTGATGACATTTTGGTGTATTCAAAGTCCAGGGAGCAGCATCAGGAGCATTTGCGGGAGGTTTTAAAAAACTACTTACAACATTCACCCTTCACCTTTATGCTTTTGTTCACAAACAACCCTTTCACTTTCGTTTGAATTTCTCATAACCATCGCCTTTTGATGTGTGTGAAACGAACTAGTTTTAATCCTACTAACTTAAACACAAAGACAAACACACGAAAGACAGTGTACCTAAGGCTGTAAACGAACTGAACGTTCGGCGAACCGTTCGTGAACTGTTCGGCGGGAAGTTCGTTTATGTTCGTTTATTTAATAAATAAACAAACATGAACAAAAATTATCGTTCGTTTAGTTAAATGAACGAACATGAACAATGGTCTCGTTCGTTCATTTATGCTCGTGAACTTTCGTTTACGTTCGTTTATGTTGGTTCGTTTAAGTTTATTTATATTCATTTATATTCAATTAGTTTTTATTATATTGCTATATTATATGTTCGTTTATGTTCATATATGTTCAATTGTGTTTTTTTTTTTAATTTTATTTATTTATTTATTTTTTTTTATCTTTGTTCGTTTATGTTCGTTTAGCATGTTCACGAACATAAATGAACGAACATGAACAAAGTAATTTGTTAAACGAACGAACACGAACAAGAAAATCTCGTTCGTTTATCCGTTCGTGTTCGTTTGTTGTTCGACTAACTTAAATGAACGAACATGAACAAGATCTTGTTCGTGTTCGTTTGGTTCGTTTACAGCCCTAAGTGTACCTATCGATTAGCAGTTTAGTTCAGGTAAGTAGGGTATCGAACACAGGGAACGGTAAACAATTAAAATAGATGCTAATATTATCTAAATAAAAGAAGTAATAGAAAGGGGGTTTCTCTAGTTTTGCAAGACTAGAAACTTAAATACTTTACTAACACGCAAACTAAGCAACTAATAGCTAAGAAAACAAAGATCAACTAAATTCAATGATTAAAAAGGCCTTCTGTTTAGGTTCGAATCATTTGTTCCCATGGATGATTTTATGGTAAATATATCGGATTAATTCTTCATTGGTTACCGACTAAAGTGATTAGATTCACATTCGCTATAGCTAATCCTTAGAAAACATATTAATTCAAGCAATGACCAGTTGTCTAAATTAATGAATTTCCTAGTTTGTTGATTCGGGTTTAGAAAGACTTGTAATTAGCTAATCAAATTGGTGATTCAATTAACCTCTTGTTGATGGTGTATCACACAAGCTCACACATTAACTTACCTATCTTCAAGTTAATTCTAGTTTCACATTCGTTATTCCTAGACATACAACTATGTGGTCACGTAAATCATATGAAATTAGCAACTAAGAGATGTTCATACAACTTAATTACTGATTTATTAACAGAAGAATAGTTATTGTTAACACATAAGGTTTTTTAACAAGCTTAATAAAACATAATCATCAATTAAAATTAATCCTAATCAAATAATCAATCCATGTTCACAAATTCATCTACCTAAACAGAAGTTATGAGTTTTTAGCTCATGATTACAGCAGAAACAAGCACAAAAACGAAATCAATTGGTAAAAACATAGTTCAAACAAGAGATTAGGTAAGAGTAAACTTGATTTTGACTTGATTCTCCTTAAAATTGAATGTAGGGTTGATTCCCTTGCTTCCCACGCTCCAACAACACCTTTAGTCGACAATTGGCCTCCAAGGGTTCATCTATATACTAGTGTATCGATCTGAAAGTCCCTTTATATAGATTTTCACAAAACAGGGGCTACTCGGCGAGTCCGTCACTTAAAACCCGTGTACGGCAAGTCAGCGCGTCCAGAATCGCGAAAGTTCAATACAACTCGCCGAGTAATCGACCCTACTCGCCGAGTACATTTCGAATCAGCATTTTCTCAAAACACGAAAGTCGTCCCAAATTGTGTCTACTTTGCAGAACATTTTGAATCTCGTCAATCGGAGTTACGGTTCATGAGATATGGCCAAAACACTGACGAGGGGTCAAGCTGTCCAACAACATCCTTCTTTCTTCAAAATCCAAGATCCAAGCGTCCAATCGCCAGTTCCGCTTCCTTTTCTATCCGAGCATGTCTTTGTTACTGAAAATGAAATATTTAAGCTAATTAAGCACCTTTTGTTCATTAAATGAGACAAAATCAACATAAAGTATTAAGATCATGCATGAATTTTATAACTAAATATGCCCATATCACATTTTATTACATATTATTAGTATTTAGTTTTTTGGTAGAAATGATCCCTCATTATTATTATTATTATTATTATTATTATTATTATTATTATTATTATTATTATTATTATTATTATTATTATTATTATTATTATTATTATTATTATTATTATTGTTAGATAAAATTACACGATTGGTCCCTGTGGTTTACCAGATTTAACATATTGAGAACAACGATAGAAACCGAAATCACTCTTTTACTCCTAATCCAATTTTTTTTATTAATTTATATTTCTCTTTTTGGTTTTAAATTAATGTTTTATTTATTAGAAAATACTCACCCAATACCATACAGCCACCCACCAGCTGCCATCACCACCACCACCACCGCCAAAATAACATAAATGCTCAATATGGTTTACCCGTCGTCACAAATTCAGTCCCTACTACCTTAAAAGACCAAATTACCCTCACATTAACGGACAAAAAACAACGATCTATATTTTCCGGATTGGTTTTCCGGCCGTTGCCATACATGACAATAAAGTTCAATTTGTGAGACAATTTCTTTATTTTCCTTATTTATTGCAAGAAATAATGATTTAGATTTCTTTATTTATGTAATTAGATGACATTGTTTATCTTCCTTTACTAGATTATCTCAATGCAATTCAACATGCTACTTTACTTTACAAAAAATACCTTCCGACCCCGGCAACGCCGGGGACTCTTTTCTAGTTGTTATTATTATTATTATTATTATTATTATTATTATTATTATTACAAAACCAATTATCATGATTAAATTCAAGAGTCAAGACATCAAAAATGATTCCCAATTGCAAAGCATCATTTCTCTTCCCGATTGTTAAATCCTGACCACCACCACCCTATTGATTACTATTCTCCACCACTGACCAACATCCTCCACCGTCCATCACCATCTTTCGTAACAAAATAATCAAACAAAAAATAGCTAATCGAAAAGAGCCCTCTTTTAAATCCTTTGGAACCAATATAATCCCCCAAAATAGTCTTATGTGCAAATTACAACCTAATACATTATTATCAGGCCGGTCCCCCAAAATAGTCTCATGTGCAAATTACAACCTAATACATTAGTATGAGACCAATCCTCCAAAATAGTCTCATGTGCAAATTACAACCTAATACATTATTATCAAGGCCGGTCCGTTGATTTTAGGGTCTTGTACGCAACTAAAAAATTGTCCCATAACTATAATTTTTTTTTTACTTATAATCAAAATTCATTAATACTATCATAATTGTTATAACAATATTTATAACCTAATTATATATATTATATATATATATATATATATATATATATATATATGTTATTTTGTTTTACTAACTATTGTGTGCCAGAATGTACAGCTCTAGACCACATGATGAAATAGAATCAAAGATCATGATCTGAGAATCTATAATATTACAATATGGTAACATGTAATATATAATCACATAAATTTCAACATAAGTGTATTTTGGACAATTAACCATATTTAAATAAGGAAAATTTCAGATTTTAAGGGATCATTAATTATCTTAATTTTAAAAATATGATTTTTTAAAATTAATTTTAATTTTAATTTTAATTTCAACTTAATTTTGAATAATATCAGAATTTATTCTGTCAGAATAGCCAAATGTTAACCATAAATTAGTAAAGATATTACCGATTTTGGTTTTACAAAATTTCATTCAACATATTTTAAAAAGATGTTTAAAGATTTATACAACACATTATCAATAATAACATTTTTATATGAAACATGTTTTATTCTTTAAGAATTACTAATTACATTAATTCTTACGGAATAAGACTATAAACAACAATTACATTCATTCTGAAAAAAATGACTAAAAAATGGTTACAAATTACATTTGTTCTTGAAGGTTGAAACTAAAAATGATTAAAAAGGAAAAAAAACTTCAAAAGCACTTATCA